TCCAGACTGACCTCCACAATGGTTGCACTAGTCTACACTCCCACCAACAGTGCAAGAGAGCTCCTTTTCCCCCACAGCCTCTCCAGCATTTGTTGTTGTTGGTTTTCTTGATCTTGGCCATTCTTTCAGGAGTGAGATGAAATCTCAGTGTGGTTTTAATTTGCATTTCTCTAATGACTAATGATGATGAACATTTTTTCATATATTTATTGATGCACACTTTTAAAACAGGCACTGGGGAGACTGAGATAGGATGATCACTGTGAGTTCAAGGCCAGCTGGGCTACAAAGTGAGCTCAAGCCCAGCCTAAACTACATAGGAAGACCTGTCTCAAGAAGACAAAAGGAAAGAAAGAAAGAAAGAAAGAAAGAAAGAAAGAAAGAAAGAGAGAGAGAGAGAGAGAGAGAGAGAGAGAGAGAGAGAGAAAGAAAGAAAGAAAGAAAGAAAGAAAGAAAGAAAGAAAGAAAGAAAGAAAGAAAGAAAGGAGAAAGGTGACATTACTGTGATGGCCACAAGACCTTGAGTTCAGCTGCTTAGAAGACAGTGACAACTCAGTCATTTCCATAAAAAGGAGTCTGGGGCTGAAAGAGAAACAGCCACAGCTATACTGTTGCCCTTCAAAGGAAGTGCAGCTTTGAGGTGACTTGCAGCAGCTCCTTTGTTCTTTCACATTTTTATCAACCCCAAAGTGAATGATACAGTTTCAGTAACAGACAATCTGATCAAGGTTGGTAAAAATTCAAATAGGTGTTTGGTAAACATTAGCAACAGGCAGGAGGTCCTGACGTGCACAGCCACCTTTCTGTACCGTGCAGCTCATCCCAGGAAAACAATGAAATTTAGAATCTCAAAATCATGCTCCTTTAAGCCTAGGCTGGTGACCAGGTATGCACCACCATGCCTGGCTTTTGTTTGTTTCTTGAGACAGGGTCTCACTATGTGGTTCAGGCTGGCAGACACAAGTGGCAGGGCCACCAGAGAACCCTGTCTGCTGCTCAGTCTTCAGCTGGCACTGCGTTTGACTCTGGTGCAGGCTGTGGGCTCTGACTCTGTCTGCTCCCAAGAGCCTCACCCCAAGGAGAGGAGTGGGAGCTGGGGCAGCCCCGAGTGTGCACGCACACACGCACACTCACATTACATCTCTTGCCGACAGAGCAGAACAGGTGACACCGCACCTGTAATCCTGGTACCTCAAGCTGTGGCAGGAGGGCAGCCTGGGCTACATGAGTTCAAGGTAAGCCTTCAGCACACAGCAAAAGTCATACCACACCTGCCACGTGTGTTACTAAGAGCAGAGGCAAATGAGCTACTTCTTCTCATCTCAATGGTATTCCGCATGAGGACTTTCCCCTTGGCCAGCCTGTCCCTCTACACCTGCTGCAAACTGCTGCCTGAGCTCATCATCCCCTCCTCACCTGACACACATGCAAGTGCCACAGCCTGCCTCGCCTCTCCTCTGTCTAGGCCAGGTCCCCTGCTCCATGGCTCCCCACACTCCCAATCTGTTCCTCTTTCTCTTCTGAGCTCTGGTTCCAGTGGTTACTGACTTGACATGGACAGGACAGGACTTGTGGTGTCGGTGAGTTATATTAGCACTCCAAGTCCCCTCTGCACTAGTCTAGTGTGTACTTCACCATCAGAGGATTACTTTCACTTAAAATTGCTGCTTCTCATTATGCTCAGTTCAACTGAGTGACCACTTATTTGGCACCTGGCTCTATGGCAGACACACAGATGGAAGAGCTGCCCTTCAGGGTGAAGACTTGTCTGGCCTGCAGCTTACCCTGGGCTCTCATCAAGGTAAAGTTTACAGGGACGGGGAGAGGGAGACAGGGAGAAAGGGAGGGAGAGAGAGAGAAGAATGTGCATGAACAGAAAAGGGAAAATCCAAGAATGTCATCTACACTTGGAAAAATGAACTTTCATTCATATCAGTTTACTGGTACTTTTACCATCTCCAAAATGCTGCTAATTGATTCTGATAATTTTGTTTATTTTGAGACAAGGTTTTACTATGTCGTGCAGGCTGTCTTTGAACTCATGGCAATCCTCCTGCCTCAGCCTCCTGATGCTGGGATACCAGGCATGCACCACCATGCCTGGCTTTTGTTTGTTTCTTGAGACAGGGTCTCACTATGTGGTTCAGGCTGGCAGACACAAGTGGCAGGGCCACCAGAGAACCCTGTCTGCTGCTCAGTCTTCAGCTGGCACTGCGTTTGACTCTGGCGCGGGCGGTGGGCTCTGACTCTGTCTGCTCCCAAGAGCCTCACCCCAAGGAGAGGAGTGAGAGCTGGGGCAGCCCTGAGTGTGCACGCACACACGCACACTCACATTACATCTCTTGCCGACAGAGCAGAACAGGTGACACCGCACTTGTCATCCTTGGATCTGGGCAGGGGGCACCTCAGCTTGTCCTCTTGCCCTAGCTGAGACCCACCTAACAGAAGTTATGGGATCCAACCATGCAGAACTGAGGACCCACAACCTGAACAGTCCTGTCCCCTGCATGGTCTACTGATGGTGACAGTCACTGTGGGCATTCTGTCCCAGTGAGGGGCTAAAGATGCTGCTTGCTGGGGATCTTTCGAGGCAGGACAGAACCAGGCTGTCACTCCTCCAGCACAAAGTTGTGAGGAATCTGAGAATCTCAAGTTCCAACATGGTCACCAGTGTCATCAAAGTAGGAGGAAAGAACAGTTCAACCTCCCGATTCACATACTGTAGGACTTTATCACACATGTTGTGTTCTGGTCCTAGATCCTATGTTTGGATGTCTTTGACTCTTCTTCCCTCTGTGGTGCTTTAGGGAATACTTGTTTTTCTCTACAGTCTAAGCTGGCCCTGAACTGGTGGTGATCCTGCTGCCTCAGCCTCTCTAGGGCAGGGACCTCAGGATTGTGCCACCACACCCAGCTTGGAAAAGAGGCTGTGTGAGGTAGTGGCATGTGGGGTTCTCCCTTTTGGCAGTACAGGCCCAGATCAACTCACTGTCCCCATTCTGGCCACCCCACAGGGGTTCTGCTATGTAGCTGATGGGGGGGGGAGGTGTTGGGGGACTGCTGTGCAGCCTGAGGGCCCCTACTTGGGGAGCCACAGAGACTTTCAAGCTTGGTTTGTATCTTGATGGCAGGGACCCCTGCCACCTCTGGAACAGGGACAGTACAGTGTGACATCACTTCTGGCCTTGGGTCTACAGCCCTCCCTGATGGTCTGGACCCTGGAACCGTGGGTCATGCAGGCTGTATCTTTGACTTTTGACTTGGCAGGACCAGCACAGATGGCCATTCCTGAGGATACCTTCATGTTGTCACTCCAACTCTGGTGCATTTCTGGGCAGTACATGGGGGAGGGAACCCCAGAACAAATGTGGCCGTAAAGGGCTGGTCTCACAGAGTCTGGAGGAGAGTGTCCCACTTGCTGGGCATGGGCTCCTCCTCTCTTCCACTTGCATGGTATCATCCAGCTCATCCCTGAGATGGCTCCTTCAGCACACCAGCCTCTCCTCCACTGCCACCACCCAAGTGGGTGCCTTGGGACCTGGGGACCCTTTGCTCCAGTGCTGTGTGCTCCCAGTGTTCCTGCTATGCAGGCTGCACCAGCAATGCTGGAACTTGCAGAAGCCTGAGCCCACCCCACCCTCACTGAGGCTTTGGATCACTGAAGCCGGTGGCCAACAGGGGACAAAGGTCCTTCAGTACAGAAAGGCTGGTCTTTTACTTACTGAATTATTTTTGTCTTTTTGAGACAGGGTCTCATTATGCAGTTCAGGGCTCACTTTGTATGCCAGGTTGGTTTCAAAACTTGTAAAGGATTCTCCTGCCTCAACCTCCCAAGTGCTGGGATTATAGGAGTGTGCTACTATGCCTGGCTAAAGGCTAGGTTTTTTTTTTTTTTTTTAAAAACAGTGTTGAGGTATACATATGCTAAAATATAAACCTCAACTCATTCTGAACAGCAAGGTTACAGGCTAAATGAAAATAGATTGTAAGTGAAATGTAAAACCTAAAAATGCAAACTATCCAGAGGAGAACAAGAAAGTCTCTGGAACCCTAAATTAGACAAATATTTTTTAGATGTTAAGTATGATTCTCTAGCTACAGCACCTGTAATCTCCTTACTCAGCAGACTGAAGCACGAGAATCCCAAGGCTCAGGTCAATCTGTGTTTATAGTGAGACCTTATTTAAAAAGGTCCAGAAAGTATGTATAAGATCTCCACAAGAAAACAGTATCTCCAAAACAAAAAAGAAATATTAGCAATATTACCAAAACTGCATCTGCTCTTCAAAAGGCATTATAAAAATAAAAAGCCACACACTGGGAAGCATATTTGCAAAACACATTTGATAATGCATATGTATCCAGAATATGTAAGAAAGCAACATGGAGGGTTGGGCATGGTGGTGCAGCCCTGTAATCCCAGCACTTGGGAGCCTGAGGCAGGACTGCAGAGTTTGAGGTCAGCTTGAGCTACACAGTGAGACCCTGTCCAAACAAACCAAAACAAAACAAAACAAGAACAAAAACGAAAGCAAAGAAAACCCCAACAAAACAAAACAAAACAACAAGAAAGCAATATATAATGGCTAAAAATGGAATGAAAACAACCAACCTCATGGAATTAAAGTGGATGGTGAAGTAGAGGAAAAAGGCGCTCATTGTTAGCCATGAGGAATGTAAGTACAGGAAGATAAACTCATGCAGTGCACCCCTGTAATCCTAGCACTTGGGAGGTTGGAGCAGAAGTACTGTGAGTTCAAGGCCAGCCTGGGATCCACAAGGAGACCCTGTCTCAAAAATAAAGGTCTAGGGATGCAGCTCAGTATTAAAGTTCTGTTAAAACAAGGCCCTCCACCCTACCCAAAAAAACCCAGATGAAAGAAGCGCTTGAAGAGAAGTAGAGCCCTGGAAGTTTCATATCCTGCTGGCCAGAATGCAAAACGGTAACACCATTTTAGTTTTGGTACTTTACTAATAAAGATACACTTAGCCTATGACCATTAGTAGGGATTTAGCATTTTTATTTTTATCAACAGACATCTAAGTTTTTCTGTTTTTTAGGTACCATAATGCTGTGATGAAATCTGTATGCCAGTTTTTATAGGAATAGTTTTTCATTTCTTTTGGTTTTATGCCTAGGAGCACTGCTGCGTTGTAGGCAACTTTTGGGGAGGTGCGAGGCCTTTTTCGAAAGAATGCACACTATCTGTACCACTTTCCATTGTCATCAACAGTGAATGAAGCATATTTCTCCACGTTCTTGCCAGTATTTATGTCCTCTCTGTCACAGTCATCTTAGCTGGTATGAAGAGACATCTTATTGTTGACTTTATTTTCATTGCCCAGATGGCTTATAAGAACCATATATTCATGTTTCAAGGCCATGTGACTATTTCCTTTAATAATGTCTTCATATGCTTCACCCACTTCGAAACTTGGTCATTTATCATTTTTACAGAGTTAAATACTTTGTATATTTTAGAATCAAATACCTTATAAGATAAATAATATGCAAATTTTTCTTTTCACTCAATGGACTGTCTTCTCCGATGGTACTGTTTTAAATCACAGACTTTTGTTTTGATAAAGTCTAATTTATTTTCTTCACTTGCTTGTGAAGAAAATGTCTTGATGTCTTAACTAAGAAACCAACACTTAATCCATGTCTCAAAGATTTCCACTCTATGGTCTTCTAAGTTTTATAGCAGTACCTCTTACATCTAGGTCTCTTAATTTTTGTTTTGCATGTTGATATCCAGTTGTTCCAGCACTATTTGTTGAAAGTAGTATGTACACAATTTTAAAGAGAATGTTTCTGAAGACATAAAAGGATAAAAATTATAACCAACTATTCTAACCAAGTATAAGTGTGAATGAATAATTTCACTTTAAAGCCTCTCATACTAACTAAATCTGATATAAGACTATGAATGTTTTCCTAAGTGCAAGAACAATGAACTGAGCTAAAGGTAGTGATCGTGAATCTCACCTTCAGTGTTCAGCTGCCCAATTGATCCAGCACTTAAAGAAAAAGTACAGAAACATTAAATTCTTCAAATATAGAATATGTTAGTCCACCACCCAGGTGTAATAGCAAAGAGCAATAGATACAACAGATATAGAGCTTGCTTTAAATAAATAAAGATCAGGTACAAATGTGGACTTACATAAACAATAAGTTAAAGGCAGTGATTTACCAACAAAATTGCACAATATTCAGACTTCTCAGCAGCAGGTCTTGTGTAAAATGTAGTACAACATTGATTACACTTCAAAATGTGTCTTTGAGGTAGAATAAACAGCTGTATCAAAATAGAAGAGGAATTTCAATTAATATAGTTTTTCATTTCACCAATCTCTTTTGCAATTTTAAGTATTTTGCTGTTTTTATAATTCCAGGGATGGCACCCATGCTTGGCAAGTGCTCTGCCACCGACCAGCACCCCTGGCTTAAGTTTTCATGAGGGTTAATGGTACTTTCTGAACATTCATCCAATGATGAAAATGTGAGGTAATATGCTTGTTTCTTCTTTTATTCCTTGGCACCCAACTTTTGTGAAGGTGTATGTACCCATGTGCTTTTCATTTATCCTTCCAAGTACAAGGTGTGAGAGAAAGGAGAAATCCTCAGTTTCCAAGTACTGGGATTATAGGCCTTTGCTGCTAAGCTGTATGCTCGGCATTCTTAAGAACTGTAAACTAAAGCTGTTCTAAGAAATGTAGTCTAAAAAGAGTCGATGTTTGTATGTTTCCAAGTTGTTCAGTCACATGAATCAGTCTTATACTTCAAATGTAGCATTTTGGTGGTGGTATGATGCTACACTTAACTACTTCCTAAAGTAAGGAAAGTTTATAAACCCTGCAGTCCGTATGAGCACATTTTATAATACGCATTAAGCCAAAATTGTAAACTTGTCCACTGTGCAGAATGATTAATTTGTAAAATACGGTAAAGTGAACTTTAATAAAAATGTTAATATATTTTAAGTTTCTCATTTGAATAGATACCCATTGTTAAGGAAACAGATGGCTGAATTTATTACTGGTATTGGTAAAACTTGAACATCCATAATCCTGTAAAAAAGACCAGTGTTTCTTTGGTGAAGTGTTCTGTTTAAGTCTTTCTGAATGGTGCCCTAAGGGGTACTGAGCTGTATCATTAGCTCTCATATTTAAGAAACAGGTTATTATCTCCTTTAACAACTTTACAAAGTGGCTGATGGCACATACTTCTCCATCAAAGAGATGCTTGTCTAAGTCTACAAATAGGTTTGAATGCCCAGAAAGTTCATGTAGTATTTTCTGTTGAAGATACAATTCCCTCTTTTTAGGAACTAGTTCAAAATTTGCCATTCTTGAGTGGGTTCTTACAACTTGCTCACAAATATTAATGACCCTACAGAGACTCTCTGAAGGAAAATGAAAGCCATTTTTCTTTTTAACACATAACAGTGACCCAATTTTAGGGGTTTTAGGATCCAATGCATACAGTGCACTGATGCAGTCTTCACATAGCAAAAGAACAGACAACCTGTTTGCAATATATCCAGTGCAGTAGACAAGCCTTTGCCTACGCTCTGACAGGTCTAGTAACGCCTCACTGAGGGAACAATCAGACCAGTCGTGACAAATATCCTCTTTGTGAAATAGAGATTTTATGATGCTGCCACCATATTGACATTGAACTGCCTGAAGAGCCAAGTCTTTCCTTTGAGCAACTGAAATGTCGAGGATGCTTATTTCACTTAGGAAAACTTCATCTTGAAATCTGGTCTCCAAGTTATGGTAAGCTTTTTGGAATGTCATGCAGGTAAGGCTTGAATTGGTTACTAACCTCTGCCTAAGCATCTTTAGAAATAACTCTATATGATCCTGACTGAACTTGTAAGTCAGAAGATATGGAAAAGGCACAACCTTAGGAAAAACATAATTTTGGTAGAGCCAATTTAGGCTTTCACCATTAAGCAAAAATCCCAGGAATCCTAGTTTTCGTTTACCTCTAATGATCTGATTATTGCTAGTGTCAGACAGTGTAAGAAAAATAGTCTTGGCTTCAATTAATACATGATTTATTTCACTAAAAGTTTCAGGTAATAAAGGTTTTTTAAATCCCTTTCCATGACAGTTCCTACTATTAAAAACGTCAAACAGATTGCTAATTAAGCGTAAAAAATGAATGGTACCAATACAGTTTTGAAAAGGAGGCAGACCTAATGACAGCAAATATTCTAATGTGCTGGCTACACTCTCACTGAAGAGCTGGGCAGCACAATTCATTTTCAGTACATGATTTTTCAAATTTGCAAGTTTACTTGGGATTCCTTCCATGATTGATAATTCCTGTCCACCAAGTGCTACCAACTCCACAAGGTGCTGCCAATGTGCTGTACCGTTAATGAAGTGAATGCTTTGAAAACCCTGAAATGCATTTCTTACTAACTTCAGTAAGTGGCAAGAATCAAAGAAGTATGCAATCCGTTGGCTAGAAGATGAAGGATGCTGGAATGTGCACTTGATGTTGTCTCCGTCCATATGTATTCCCAAGGCTTTTGCCATTTGGACACTGTGAGCTGTAGCATCGGATGTAACCGCCAGGACTGTGACCCCAATGTCACTCAGCCTGCCAATAGTCAGACGAAGTAGCTGAGCTTGCAAATATCCAGATGCTCTGTTCACAAAAAAGTAACCCAGGGGCATTCTCCAGTGCCCAAATATACCCACTCCCATTAACACGACAGTTTCTGTGGCAAGTGGTGTTTCATCAGCATCAAGCTTCCCCAGACCAAAGTCCATAAAACCTTGTAAACTCTGAGTGCTGGAATCCCACTGGAGTTTCTGCTTGAGAGGTATGCTTTTTATTATCAATGAGCAATACTGATAACGCTGGTCTCCACTCTCTACTCTTTCTTGGAGCAAAGAAAAAATGTTGCTGTTGAAGCCAGGACTGGGTTTGCATTTGGACAGCCAACTAGGAAACATGAAAGTGAAAAGCGTAAGACATAAATGAAGAAATATAAAGGTACAAAGGATGAGAAGGAAAATGCCTTAAATCGACTAAAGTATCCCTCACTCTGTAGAAATAAAGCCACTGTAAATATTCAAATTACATTTTCAAGCACACATTCATATAATGAAACAAGATAAATGAGAAACTATTTTAAGACAGAAATATACAACATAATTTTAAATTTCTCATTCTTTAAAAAATATACAGGGGCTGGGGATTTAGCTCAGCAGCGTAAGTGCCTGCCTGGCAAGTGCAAGGTCACAAGTTCGATCCCCAGTACCAAAAAAAAAAAAAAAAAAAAAAAAAAAGTATACAGATCAAGCTGGGCAAGGTGGTACATATCTGTAATCTTAACACTTAGAGGAGGCTAAGGCAGGACTGCAGTGAGTTCCAGGTCAGGTAGGGATAGAGTAAATTCAAAGCCAGTCTGAACTACAGAGCAAGACCCTGTTAAAAAAAAGTATATGAATCAATCACCCAGTTTGTTATAATTCATCTTTTAATGACATAGAGCCTAAACCAGTCTTGTAAATCCACTTACAGGAGAAAACTATCATATGGGAGGGAACCCTGGAGAACTTCTAGAAACACCCACCTCAATTTACAAGGTAGGAAACTGGCACAAAGAGACGTGGCCTATGGTGCTGTGAGGAACAAATGTCAAATCCAGCTTTCCTCATTGCCAGGGCTTCGATGATTTTAAGTGCTTATAGCCTCAAAATGAATCCCTTAGAAGCTGTAAGGAGTCTTCAGTTTCTCATCCTTGTACAGCATACCTTCGCTGTCATCTTGGGAGTTCTTTTGGCACCCTGACGTTCCCAGACTGCTGGGTAGTTGTTCCTATTACTATTGCTGTCTATAGAATGAGTCTTACTTCTAATGTACTCCTTTTCATTTGCTTTTAACCAAAAAAACAAAACAAAACAAAAAAAAAACCAGCCATTTAGTAATCTTCTAAAATAAGACTACAGTTCAGTGTGGCACACGCCTATTATCCCAGCAATTGGGAGGCTGAGGCAGGAGGATCACTGAGAGCTTGAGAATATAAATTACTTAGCAATACCCCGTCTCAACATAACAAGATTATAGTAAATAGGCTCTGAAGGAGGAACTGAGGTGTTCATCTACAACTGAAATAATTTTACCATGCAAATGTCTTTTTTTTTTTTTTTTTTAAAGACAAGGTCTTGTTATGCAGTTCACTATGAACTCACTATGTAGCCTAGGCTGCCCTTGAACTCAAAGTGATCTTCCTGCTTCAGCCTACCAGATGCTAGGATTACAGGTGTGTACCACCATGCCTGGGTCAGTCAAATGTCTTTTTTACTTTAATTTTTTAGGTAGCCAAGGTTTACTCCTGAACAGCTACTGAGTTTTGAGTACCCTTCTCTAAGTATTTCAGGACTTGCTTTTCTAAATATTTAGCTGCATTCTGTTTCATAAATAAAGTTTACTGTTACTACATATCATATACTTTCACATACAAAATACACACATTATTTATTCAATGGCAACTATGACACACTAAATTGATTTCATGCACTAATGTTTTGAAATGTATTTATAAGATGCCAAAAGATATGACTATAACTAGCTTTTATTTTAGTTAGGGTCTCATTATGTAGCCCAGCATGGCCTCCAACTCATGGCAATCCTCCTGCTTCATCTCCCAAGTGCTGAGATTAGAGGCATGTGCCACTCTGCTTAGCTAAATGGCTTATTTATGACAAAAGTATCAATTATTGGAGCCAAGGATGTAGCTCAGTGGTGCAACGCCTGTCCCCACCAAACTCATTAATTGTTTGTAATTTAAAATAGGTCTAAAGTAATAAAGACAATGAGAGAACAGGGCAGTGGTGTTATAGCCAAAAACCACCAAGGTCTGGAGGATATGATAGGGAGATGCCACCATGCCAAGCTGTCAATGTTTTCTCTCACATCCGTCACCTGTAGAGGAAATTAATTTACTTGCAGTGAATACAAATATAGGCACTTAGAAACAGGAAATGCAAATAAGGAACAACTGTGCTGCCATTTTCTATGACTAAGATCTACTAACTAACTGTATCATTATTATGGTGGAACTAGGAAAGCTGAGGCTATTTATGACATAACTTCAGAGGATTTGTGAAAGCGTGCCATCTTAGAAACTAAAGTCCTAAAATAACAGCACAGTTCTAAGTAAGATGAAGACATAAAGAACTCAGAGAGAACTGAAAAAGGATCCATATCAATGCAAAACAAAAAATTGAGGTGTCTGAGGTAGCTATGAATTAAAGATATCTAACAATTAGAATTAGTGAGTGAGGTAATTACCTAACCAAACCAAATGTATTTTAAGCAATTTAAGCGTGGTCTGTCATCATCTAACAGCAATCTCTTTAACAATTTTGGCCCCAAATCTGACACCACATTTTCATGTAACTTATTTTTCCAGTCTCTCGGCTGATTATGCATCTTTTCTCTTTTGTATCCGAACTTCTAAAACTTCCTTCCTCAACTCTGCCAATGAGCTTTATTTTACTGAGAAAACAGAGGGGCTGGGGATTTAGCTCAGAAGCATAAGCGCCTGCCTGGCAAGCATGAGGTCATGAATTTGATCCCTGGTACCAAACAAAAAAGAGATGCAGTCTGATCAAAACTCATTTTCTTCTACCCAATCTGTGTCCATATCTTTCTTCCTGATCCAACTGATGAACTATGCCTGCTAAATCACACCTCCCCTCAACTGGATTGGGCCTTAACCTGTGCAAACACATGCAGTTGTTCTTTCTTACATGTATCACCAATGTCTGTCTGTCCATGAGCCTGCAAACATGCTAGTACATCTGCAAAACCAAGCCTTTTCTTCTACTTAGAGACCCATTTCCTAGCTCTCTGTCATTGCAAAATGGCCTGAAAGAGTCCATAATTATTTTTCTGCTTCTTCAATTTTCTATCTCCTGATTTAATGAGCCAGGTTTATCTCTTCAGCATTCCTCAGCAATGGCTTTTGTCAAGGTCATTTGACCATTACCTTGCATAACTCCTTGAAAAGCTTTCTGTACTTGGCTTCCAAGCCATCAAAATCTCTTGCTTTTCCTCCTGCCTCACTGGTTACTCCTAATCAATAAATACTTATTGAATAGATAATTATCAAATATACTGATTATAGAGATCTAACACTTCAGCACTGCTGTGTTAAAAACAGCTCTAAGTTTTAAATAGCTTATAACCAAAAAACAAAAGTTTGGCCATTCAGCTTTATGAGGATAAAATCTTGGTACCCTTAGTATATAATAATAATTGAAACAAATTTTTCTTCATAGATAAATAGCTCAAAAAGCCTTGAGCTAGGGATGTAGCTTGGTGGAAGAGTGTTTCAAATTCTGGAAGCTGGTCATGGTGATGCGTGCCTGCCACTGCAGTACTCAGGAGGCTGAGGCAAGAGAATTGCCATGGGTTTCAGGCCAGGCTGAATTGCATAGCAACACTCTGTCTCAGAACCAAACCAAACCAAATGAAACCCAACACTACCCAACCCAATCCAACCCAAAGTCTGGAGGATATGATGTATACCAAGCTATCTATAGCTTGTTATAGTATACCTATAGCTATACCTAGTTAGCTTGTAGGATTAGGGAAAGGAAGTTAAAAGTGCTTTTACCTTTGGTCTTCACATACTTATGCATTATTTGAATATTTTACAATAAACATTTATTACTATAATCTTAAAAATGTACCTTAGTTACAGCCAAAGTACCAAAAAAAAAAAAAATTATGTGAGTACTAGAATTAGAAATGTAAACATAGTATCATAACAGAAGTTACAAACAGCAAAACCCCATTAAGAAGTGAAAACTTAAATGTGAGTTTGAATTGGAAGGAAACATTTTATCTAGCTATAAACTGATGAAGAACTTTAGAAAATGAAGAAAGTCCTGGGAAAATAAACATGAGAAACTCCTACATAAACCATCATGAAAAACCAGTGATGAATAATTTAAACAAAACGAGTGCAAAAAAAGACAGACCAGTGAAGGTATAGGAAAAAACATCACTTGCTTATCAGGTGGACACTGTAAGTAAGTATAATATCTAGTTTGAACGGTAAAATAAATTATGAAAGAGGAATCTCACACATATATATTCATCAAGAAAGGAAGTACCAATAATAACAACAACAACAAAAGGAAAACAATATAAATATCCAATAGTTGGAGAAGGGTTAAGAAGAATAAAACTGGGGCTGGGGATTTAGCTCAGTGGCATAAGTACCTGCCTTGCAAGCAGGCAGTCATGAGTTCGATTGCCGGTACCGATAAAAAGGAAAAAGACCAAAAAAAAAAAAAAAAAAGAAGGATAAAACTACATGGTATTATGCAGCTAGTAAAATTTATCTGTAATCACATCTATAATCAGTCTCAGCACTCTGAGGTGGATCACAAATTCAAGCACAGTCTGCACAACTTAGCAATTTAGAAGACCCTGTCTTTAAAAAAAAATATTAAAAAGGTGTCTGTAAAACCTGTGGTAAGAACCAAGGTCAGTGGTCACAGTGCAGCGTCTCAGTTAGTAGAAAGGCTGAGGCAGGACCATTATAAATTTGAGGCCAGCCTTAAAAACTTACTTGATATCCTGTTTCAAAGTTAAACAATAAAAGGAGTAGGGATGTAGCTCAGTGATAGGAACTTGCCTAATGTGTGAGGCTCTAGATTCAATCCCCAATATTGGGAGAAAGAAAAGTACATTAAGATTATAAATTTAAATTAACTGTTAAACTTGTAAGACATTACTAGAAAGTTAGATTATTTGCTTCACATGGAGATTTATAAATATATCTGTATTTGACCAGAAATCTTGAAATATTTTATTAAAATCTGGCCCTTGGAGCAGCTACCTGCATGACATCAAATGCAGTGTTTAGAAGCAATATAGACTTCAGTGCTTTGCTTTGGATCAGTGGTTGCCAATCCAGAACTGCTCTAGATCTTCCAGACAGTAATATTAGGGTTAGTGAAGTGCATCAGAAATCTACTATCACAGAATTGAAGTTTTACTCTCCAGAGCATCTTTAACACTTTAGAGATGTAAAAATGTTTCAGACAATGACTGCATCTTCATTTTGCTGGTGAAAGTACTGCTGTTGTGATAATATGCAAATCCCACCAAAGTTTCTAAAAAGAGACAACACACTATTTGATGGGAGTGTGAGTGCTAACACTCAATGTACAAAAATGCAACAGGTAAACAAAACACTCATTTAACATCACTTACGTTCTGAGGATGGAAGAATGAGGCAGCTTAAGAATCTTTCTTACGTAGTCATAGACTTTGCTGCTGCACAAGTAGAGTGTACATGCAAACTGTTTCATTTCTGTGGAGTACTTAGCTGTTTCTCTCCAATTATACAAGTCCCACTTAAAGTCTGTTAAAAGAAATTATTGTCATAATGAAAAATGTGAATAGCAGCATTTTCAGGTATGGATCATGGTATTTGGATATAACATAACTGAGTATTATGTCACATTTTACCTGAGGTCAATATCCACCTAAGGCCTCTTGACTAATGTGCCCTGTTCATCTTGAATAATTGGTTAGAGAGTAAAGAAAAAAGAAGTCTCACCTTGAATCATGTTTATTATTCACTGGCAGCCTGACTGGAGATTTTTAGAGGAAAGGAAGAAACTGAAACAAATGTGCCAAATTAAATCTCTGGATTATAAGGACTTTTTTGTTTTGTTTCCTCATTACTATTTATCAGTGTGAAAATCAGATATGAGAAACATTTTTTGGGAAATGGCGCTATTCGGGTTTATAGACCATCTTGTCTACTATTAGGAGGAAAAAAATCCTACTTCCATGGGGGCTCTTACTCATTACTCTGTTCTCCTTTGAGAAAAAGTCTAGAGATAATGACTCTTTTAGAATAGGACATGCTTCCATTTTCCCAGAAAATAAGTTCAAAGTCTGCTATTTTCATCAAAAAGTTGGTCATTCTTACTTATTATGTCCCTTTTTCTGGTTTTACGTAGAGGTCTAAATAGTTTTTTTGTATCAATTCTATAGAACATTGTATGTGTGTGTGGCGGGGGGACCGGAAACTGAAACTCTCCAAGCCCAAGAGATTCTGTAGAGCTGGGTGTGGTGTTACATATCTGTGATCCCAGCATTTGACAAGACTGAGGCAAGAGTCTGAGGTCAGCTGGGCTAAACAGCAAGTTGAGGCCTAGCTTGAGCTATGTCGGGAGACCCTGTCTCCAAAAATAAATAATCTAGTAAAACTCCATTGCAACAAGACAGTGGTAATAAATTTTGTAGCAATTAAAATTATAAAGAATTTGCAGTACCATGGGTCAGAACTATACTCGAAAAACACAGAAAATTATACATTACCTCATTTCTGGGTAAGAGGATTAAATGAATTATCGTTATTGTTTAAATATGCCTTTGCTTTTCCTATACTAAACTTGGTTGCTTTTATAAACGGAAGATCATGAGATTTTGATTTTTTTTTTTTTTTGGTACTGATAATTGAACTCAGGACCTTGTACATACCAGGCAGGAACTTACCCTGCTGAGCTATATCCCAGGCCCCATAAAAGGACTCTGAGATTTACTTTTCATTCTTGCTTGTACTACTGTGACTTTTTTCCTTCTTAGCTGAAATAATGCTTTCATAGGCAATGTTAAAGGTAAAGACCTAGTGGAGATAGGTTTGGCAGCGCAAACCCGTAATGCCTGAGAGGCTGGGGCGTGAATACTGCCAAGGGTTTGAGGCCAGCCTGGGCGACACAGTGAGTTCAAAGTTAGCTTAACTACACGATGAGACTGTCTCAAAAACAAAAAATCCACAAACAACAAGCAAAGACTTAATGGAAAAATAGAGAGCCATGTTGGAAATATTCCAGCCATTGGGAGGAAGTACCTGAAAATTGTGCTCGTAGCAGACACTCTGTTTCTTCAGAAAGTAGTTTTTCTTCTACTAGTGCATCAATTAACTGCAAGCCCTTCCTCCTCTTGATCATCCTGTAGTTTTTTACAGAGACCATTTTTGGGGGGCACATTTGTAACATCTGTTGCACCTCTGCCAATTTCTCTGAACCTGCTGTCCAGGGATTTCTTAAACTATAGTTATGGTCTTCAGAAGCAACCTCTTCAGAATCATCTGGAAATGGCTGTTTCCGGATCTTGTGACTTGCTTTAACAGTAAGAGATACAGTTTGAGGAACCTATGACAGAAATAGAAAATTAAGGCTATTTTAGACATCATCCCATAGAAGATTATCTATAAAAATACTACTGAACAGAGCACTTACCTGGTTGCTATGAAGCAGATATGAAAGAAAAGATCACAATTTAAAGATCTGAATTTAAAATGCATAGTCTACAGGACAGTATAAACAGATTTTCTGTTTGCCTTTTACTTGCATCTATCCAGAAACACTAATGTGGTCATCAAAGTTTCTGAAATGATTGAAAGTGCATGCTTGTAGTCTCAGCACTTTGGGAAGCTGAAGCAGAAGAATCTCAAGTTCAAGTTCTAGCTGGGCAGCTTAGGGCAACCCTGTCTCAAAACATAAAAGGGGTCGGGGTTTGGAGCTCAGAGCAAAGTCCTGGGATTCATTCCCCAGTATATAAATATAAAAAGCCAGAGAAATGTGGGAGTAATTTGCGAAAGGTTTCTGGAATGTAGGGTTTTTTTAAGGAAAAAATACAGAGCAAAAAGCAAACAAAAGCAACAACAGCAAAATGACAACAATAACAAATCAATAGTGATACAGGAGTTCAAAGCAAGATGATAGGAATTTAACAATGCACATTGTTATCTTTTTTGGTACGGGGGATTGAACTCACAACCATATGCTTGAAAGGCAGGCGCTTATGCTGCTGAGCTAACACATTGCTATCTTCAAAATGGCTACTCAGGTTACCAGATATAGGCCTGCAAAACTGGTAATTTCCCTTTGAGTAGTTTCTTCTCCTTTTACTATATCTATTGTTAACTTCTGGATCCAACGTCTTATACTAGCAAGACAATTTGGTGTTTATACATGCAGGTCTGATTTATTTCACGTATGAGTATGGCTTCTAGTTGCATCCATTTACTCATCTTTATTGTTCTTTATGGCTTAGTAGTACTCCATTGTATAAAAATACCACATCTTTTTTAGACATTCCTCAGTTGATGGGCATTTGGGTTGTTTCCAAGACTTGGCCATTACAAATTGTGTAGCTATAAACATGGGTGCACATATATTACTGTGAGATGATGTTTCAATTCTTCTAGGAAAACACCCAGAAGAGGAATAGCTGGGTCGAAATGGAATCTCTAATCCTAGTTTTTTGAGGAATCTCCACAATAGTTGTTCTAGTCTATGCTCCTACCAACAATGGAGAAGGTAGAATTGAGTTTTGAGCAGTTCTTTGAAAAAACAGTAACAGTAATGGAAAGGACAGAACAATTATCTCTGGAAGAGGAGATGGACACAGCATGAGTTTTGGAGTTAAGATAGACCTAGATTTAAACTCTGTAGTCCTTCACAAAATGAGGTTGTAAGGATACAATGAAATAATTTATGCAAATCTTTTTTTTTAAAGGTCTCAAAAAAACAGTAGCTATTACTGATTTTACACAAAAGCATGAAAGCAGTTTATTATGTATATAGTAATATGTGGTTTGAAAATTGAATTTAGGGCAATTAAAGGTGCACAGATCAATTAATGGAAGCTCATGGCACAAAGAAATTTGAATGACACCAACTACATAGGTTTTGAATAGGCGAATAAAGTAACACGGTCCTGAATATGGTGCAGTAAGGAAGCTAAGGTCAGAACAGTTAGTTGACTGTTTTGGACTGCAGAAAGTGAAAGCCACATTCTAGAATTGTGGTTATGTAAAGCGACAGTAATTAGTCACACATTGTGGAGTACACCTGTAACCCCAGCACGCAGGTGGCTGAGGCCAGCGTGTGCTACAAAGTGGGCTCAAAGCCAGTCTGAACTGCTGGTGAGACCCTATAGGTATCCCAATATCAAATATGGTAACCCAAGTATTGTAATCCCTTTTCTAATCTGGAATTGAATTGTTTTGGGAGGCTGTTGCTTTAGTGTCTGACGTGTAAACCTTTGTGCTCCAGGAACTCACAGCCTCTTTGTTTTGAGGCTCCACATTTCTGGAGCTGACTGGCTCTGCCTTTCCTCTGTGCTCAGACAGCACTATGCCAGGAGCCAAAAAGAGACTGTCAGAATGGCCCTGAAGATTAAGTATCAGTACTTCAGCTGCCCAAATTTGCATTGCTTAGAGCCAATTGAAGAGAGAAGGGAACAGCATAGCCTGCTCTGTACACATCAGTACACGGAAATAAGACAAATGTTGCAGCAATTGTTCTGTATTCAAGGGGAGCTGCTCAAATTGTCTTCCACAAGACCCTGTCTTGAAAAGACAAAAAGATACTAGTAATCTAACGAACAAAAATGTAATACCGATATGAATGATCTCACACCAGAAATCTCATTTTACATATACTTTTTCTTATTTCAACGCTAATAATCAGGCATGCTTTTGGTTAAGATCAGTAATACTATTGTGAGCCAAAAAGAGATAAATAACTTCAAAGTACTATGAAAAGTGGCTCATACGAAACAAAAGCCTGAATTCTAAGGCTATTTATATTTACTAGTTGATTTTTATAATTAAACATTTTGTAAAAGCTTGAGGCCAGAAAGGGAAGATTATATATACATTTAAAACACAAAACATGTAACTTTTAAAGCATTTACAATCCATTATTTTATTTATTTTAAACCCTGAATTTTCTCATCTCTGTAATTCTAGCTAATGTGTCTTGCCATGATTTTTACAAGCTGTGTGCACTTTAGTTCCATTCGCATTTAAGTACCTTGCATAGGGAAAGTGAAGGCACAGCTCCTTTTTTCAGCTTTCTTCTTACGCCGTATGACTCAAAGTCACTTTCTTGAAAATGCCTGGAACACAGTATAGCACTTGGTCCTGGAATCCAAATCTTTTTGCTTCTGGGGTCCACACGGTTCACAGCCCTGATCCATTTTGAGCGCTGAATAGTGTCAGTTGGAAATCTATAGCAAACATTAAAGTTCCATTACCATCCAAAGAACTATGATATTACTGTAATAGTAGTTCTAAAAATCTCATTCACCAACTGTTATATATAAACATAAAGCCTAGTAAAATATGATTAGATTTCAAAGTTTTTAATCCAAAATTCCATATTTTATTTTTGGCCAGGCATCGTGGCACATGTCTTATAATTCCAGAATCAGGAGGCTGAGGTGGGAGGATAATCATGAATTTGAGGCCAGCCTGGGCTACACAGGTAAGTTCAAGACCAGCCTGAATTGTATAGTGAGACCCTGTCTCAAAAAAAAAAAAAAAAAAAAAAAAAAAATGGGGCCAGGGATTTAGCTCAGCAGCATAAGTGCAAGGTCATGAGTTCAATCCTAGGCATCAAAAAAATAAATAAATAAATAAAAAATAAAATAAAATAAAATAAAACTGTGCACTACCATGACTAGTCCAAAAATTCAGTTTTTTTATTGGGGGAGGTTACCCAGGATTGAACTCATGACTTGCAAGGCAGGCACTTATGCCGCTGAGCTAAATCCCCAGCCCCCAAAATTCAGTATTTTAAGTGATGGTTTGAAACTAATGGAGGGCAATACTCAACTATTCTACCATGAGGTGTTCACTACTTAAGGGAATCTGTTCAAATTTAAATGGTTAAATGACAACTTGCCTGTGATGATTATATTTACTGATTTTTTTTTTGGTACCAGGGATCAACTCAAGACCGTGCATTTGCCAGGCAGGCACTTACACCACTGAGCTAAATCCCCAGCCCACCCCCCTTTTGCCTGTGGTGATTTTAAACCAGGCCACAAAGGTTTTCGGACCTGTACTTTTGTACTTGTCTTTTCAAGGGGTGGGAGTCTATTGTCCCTCCACTTGTGCATGGGTTGGCATTAAGAGTTTTGTTAAAGATTAGAAAGTGTAAGTGGCCAGATACTAAGCTACAAAAGGCACTGCCAGTTCTTTGTTGCTCCTTCAGCTGAAAAGGAGGAAGCCACCTACCAAGTATAAGCAGCCCTAAGAAATCTCTTTGGGAGAAACTGAGGCCTCTGCCCAAAGGTAACAGTTCATCTTTACTGCAGCTTTGAAAGAAGGTCTGGCTATGTAGTTTAGGCAGGTCTCAAGCTCAGAAAGAAAAATTTAAGAGTATGGTCAAGCAGCTGGGTATAATGGCTCACATTTGTAAGCCCAGCACTTCAGGAGGCTAAAGCAGGATTAAGCATAAGTTTAAGGTCAGCCTGACCTACACAGTGAGTACAGGGCCAGTGTAAACTCCATAGTGAGACCCTGCCTTAAAGAGAAAAAAAGTGTGGTCAAACAAGCTGGGTGTGGCTGTATATACCTGTAATCCCAGCACTAAGAGGCAGAGACAAAAGGAATTCAAATTCAAGCACAGTTTGGGCAATTTAGACCTGTTTCAGAACAAAATGACAAACAAAGAGCTAGATGGGTACTCAATGTTAAGATCTCAGACTATTCAGTACAAAATAATAAAGACTATGGCTCTGCAGTTAAACAATTCTATTTTTGATTGGTTTGAGAAAGAACACAAATTCAAAAAGCCTGTATTTTAAGCCTGAAGAATTTTCACTAACTGTAGGGCATTAGGCTCATATTTCCATCACTGAACTCAGCACAAGGCTGTATTACGAATACAGGAGGTTATACATGCCTTCAAAAGTGCTTGGGAGAGGGGATGGGTTAAGACAGGGTCTCCTTCGGTAGTTCAGACAGATCCTGAACTCACAGTAGCCCAGGCTGGCTTCAAACTCACAGCAAGCCTTATACCTCAGCCTCTCTAGTGTTGGGATTACAGGCATATGTCAGAATTTCCAACTCAGAAACATTTTTTTAAACTGTAAAGTACTAACCAAAATTTGTTCTTTCCTAAGGAAGGTCATATACTTGATGAACAGAACAGAAAATTGTTTTGCCAATAAAGGTGAGGCAACTCTACTTTTTTTCACTGTTAATTAATGGCATTTATTGCCACGGATTTAGCTCAGGGGCACAAGTGTCTACCTGGCAAGTGTGAGGTCATGAGTTCGATCCCCAGTACCGCAAAAAAAAAAAAAAAAAAAAAAAAAATTAATGGCATTTATATGAAAAGCTTTTACATGTATAATTTCTTTTGGGGGGAGTACTTGAGATAGGGTCTTATTATGCAGTTTGGGCTGAACTTGAATTCACTTTGTAGCCCAAGCTAATCTTGAATTTGCAATGATCCTCTGCCTCAGCCTCCCAAATACTGGAATTACAGGTGTGCACCACACCTGGCAATACACGTAATCTTAGTACTAACTCTTTGAGACTTGCGTCCAGGAAGATCATAAATCTGTAGTCAGCCCAAGCAATTCTGTAACTTAGCGATTCTATCTTAAAATTATTATAACAACAACAAAAAAGGCTAGGATATACCTTAGTGAGAAGGCCCTGGGTTCAAGTTACAGTACCAATCAATAAAGTAACAGAATTACATAATCCAGTCCAGAAGTAAAGGTCTCAGGGGAGACAGGCAAGGCTACAATTGTAATAACTTATGTTCTGGGATCAGCTCCATTAAAAAAAAAAAAAGAATCAATGACTTTGCAAAGAGTGCCGTAAGATCGAAACTCCTTAACCTGGTATTCTATTACTTTTCATAATTTATCTTCAAGATATATTTCACTCTTCTACATATTAATCTGCACGTTTCGCACAATTCCTACTTAAGGGCCACTCTCTTTCCACTCACGTTTGTTTTCTTTCAAGCGTGCTAGGTTTAACTCTAATGATAGTAACATCCTACCTGGCTACCTCTATGGTTGTGTCTATCTTTTGTGTGTAGGCTCAATTCTCTATTTCCCAATATTATTTTTTCTTTCTTTTCTTGAGGCAGGGTTTCATCACATGGCTCAGGCTGGCATTGACCTCATAGTGATCTTTCTACCTCTGCCTCCGGAGTGCTCTGATTACAAGCGTGTGCCACCAATGCCCGGCTTCTAATACCTTACCATTGACTTGAACTGACCTCCAACAGGTACCACGACTTCAGATTTGACCATTCTCAAATATTACCCCATTCTAACTTTTTTTTTTTATTCATAGGCTTGCTGTGTACGTCAGGTTGGCCTCAAACTTGAAGATTCTCCTGCCTCAGCCTCCAGAATGCTGGGATTACAAATGTGCACTGCCAGGCGTTGTTCTACCCGCTCTTGAGACAAATGGTTGCCAAGATCTAATCTAGCCACAATCAAATCGGCCTTGGCAACTGCATGTTAGGCAGCAGAGACGAAAACATCCATCCTCCCGTTTGCTAAGAAATCTAGCTCAGCCATGGAAGCGCACGCGTACACTCTTGCCCATCGCGTAGTCTTCTGGGCACTTCACTTTAGACCCCAGGACTACCTCAGAAAACGAGGACCTCGCTAAAGTAACCTCAAAGCCGCACGACGTGCAGACATGAGAGACAACAATCTTTACGTCGCCGCTCAGCAAAACGCGCCGGAAGTACCCTAACTTCAAGGCCCCCATTTCCGCTCCCCATTACGCAGGTCACATGGACTGCCCGACACCCCGCCCATTCCAGGTTGACCCGCAGCCGCGAGGCCCTCCGAGGAGTCTGTGGCTCCAAGGCAGCTCTCACACGCACTGGTGGAAGGAGAGGCCGCGCTTGCGGCTCAGCACGGTGTCACTGGTGCTGCAGCCCACTGCAGAACACCTTCGGGTCATCTTCTCCTAACGTAGGGTTCCACTTTCGAGGTTCCCGCGACACTTTGAATCACCATAAATTTAGTTCCGCCTGCTGAGTGGGCTGTTACGACCTGTATTTATTTGAGAAGGTGGGCTTTAGAGGCGCCAGGGCTCCACCCCTCTGCGCTCGACGCCCTGGCTAATCATAACTCACGTCGTGCCGCGACAGCCAATCGGAAAGGTCGGTTCCTCGAGCCACGCCCCTTGATTGCCTCCTCTGGGTTCCATTGTAGCGTGGTTGATGTTATGGGATGGATCTGGTTTTTTTCCTGGGTGTTCCGGTCTAGTCCGGCTCAATCTAACGCCATCAGGGTTTTGGGGAGGCCGAGCGTAGGATGCAAAGCAGAGAGGCAGAATCGTAAAGTGATACAAAACCCGAGCACTCAGATGCTCTCTGGTGGCGATTCCTGAGCTGAGACTGAGTGGAGCATAAAGGGAGGAAGGAATGGGAGGAAGGGGTATAAAACGTGGGGCCTTAGAAATATTCAGGACAGTCGGGCCGAAGTCAGTGGTTTACCGAGGCGAGACTTGTTTCTTCGTGTTTTATCTTGGCAGCTCTCTGAGGCTGGAGAGTGACAGAAGAGTTGTTAGTGCAACTCATGTTGGGATCACGCCTATGATCCCAGAGGAGCTCCAGAATGCACGGATTCTTAATGCAGCGAGCCTTGCCGCGACGGGGGAATTGAGGGAAATCTGGTGAGGTAAGTGCAGGCTTAGAGGTCAGAGTGGAGGAATGGTCGAATTGAAGTTTTTTTTTATTTTAGATTTTGATTTTTGGGTTTTGTTTGGGACGGGATCTCGCTGTGTAGTTCACGCTAGCTTTGAACTGAACTATGTAGCCCTGGCTGGTCTTGAACTGGGGGCCTTCTTCCTGCCTTAGCTTCCCAAGATCGCAGGCGTGTGCCACCATGTAGGGCAAAAAATTATATACTGCGCTATATATGTGCTATCAACTATATAAGTACCAAATGCATTGTTTTAGTACGCACTTTTAAGAAATAACAGCTTGGAACTTTGAGAAAAAAATAGGTCCCTGAGGAAGGTGCTAGGCAAATGTTTGGCTGTACCGCGGAGAAAGGACGTGGGTTAAAATACTATCAGTTAAAAACAGGTTGCTTGCTTCTTTTGTGAGGGGTACTGGATATTGAACTGTAGCTTTGCACTGAGCTACGTCCCCAGACCTTTTAAAAATTTATTTATTCTGAAAATTAGCAAAGTCTGTTTAAGTGACCCAGGTTGAGCTCCAACTTGCCACCTGGCTGCGTACTTTTCCCAAAGTGTTGGAATTTAAGGATGGCACCACCACACTTACATTTTTTTAAAAAAACAGTTTTATTCATAGTTGTTGGAGCCATACAATTAGCAATTTATAGTTAAGTGGGTTTTAGTAATTGGTTAGATTTGAGCGACTGTGATCCCAATCAATTTTAAAACACTTTGTTTTGTTTTTGAGGTGAACTCACGCTGTTACTGCCAGACTGGTCTTGAAGTGGAACTCGAGTTTTCGCTCACTTCAGACTAATGTGTAGCTGGTAATCCAGGCTTGTGAGCCTGGCCAGTTTAAGTTTCATCAACTCCTAACAAAAGGAAACAGTCTTAGGAGCTCTTCCTTCTTTCATTCCCTGGATACAGCTAATTTACTTTGTGGATTTGCCTATTCCGGGTACTTATGGGGAATTAATCATAAACTAAATACGTGGAATTTTGGTTTCTATCGCTTAACAGATGTTTTCAGAGTTCATCCATGTTTAAAAGTACATTGGCACTTGATGTCATTTCATTGTTGAATTATACTCCATTACATGGACATACTATGTTTTATTCATAAATTGGCATACATTTGAGTTTGTTAACAGGTGTTTTTTTCCCTGTAGCAAATATTAATGAGGTTTTTTTGGTGTTGGTAGATATTTTTATTTTTCTTGATTATATATTGATGAGTAGATTTGCTGGATCATAAAAGGGTGACTAGGTTTAAGTTTTTGGTGGTGCTAGGAGTTGACTTTGGGGCCTTGGGTGGACCTCAAAACTGAGCACTCAAAACTGAGCAACGCTCCCAGTGCTTTTTACTTTTGAGGCAGCAATCCATCTACCTATAGGTAGCTGACATTGTAAAAGCGTGCCATTGTTCCAAGCCTGACAACATTTTTCTAATTAACTGTAGATGAACTACAAAAGCTTTTTATTTATTTAATTGTTTTTAGCAGACTAGTGTTGTTTAAATGGCACAGAACAGTGGTGGAGAATATATGGCTTGCATGCCTGCAACTGACTCTTGCATCATTGAAAGTGTAAAAGATTCACCATTGGGTAGACTTAATACATAACCAATTCACTTTGCCCAATCCAGCAGGGGTCACTGCTATAGATATTCTTAGAATACTGTGGATAAGGAAGTAGGTAATAGAACTTTTTGGTGCCTTTTTTGGTTTGCTTTTCTTTATTGGTGACATTGAGGTTCTCAATTTGACAATTTGGTTGTGTGCTATTATTTCTGCTTCCTCTAGTAACTTCATATCCAGTGATTAAACCCTTTCACTGCTGTTCACATAATGAACCATTGTGATTACTGAATACTTAAATGAGGATATGAAAGCTTTACTAAAGGTATTGTTACTGTAAAAGGCAGTGACCATTGCACAAAATAACTAAAAGAAAATGTCTTTTTTAGGAATTACACTTTGAAGGTGTTGGGGAAAGACACATGGATCTTGGAAGATGCTTCTTTGAAATATGCAGGAAAGGTAGTATATCATCTTTTTCTGTTAAATGTTTTAAGTATTGTTGAACTATAGCATTGACTTGGAAGTGAAACACTGTCCCAGTGAAAAATGAATTTGTAGGGGTGGGGATTTAGCTCAGTGGCATAAGTGCTTGCCTTGCCTGCCTGGCAAGCGCAAGGTCATGAGTTCAATCCCCAGTACCAAAAAAAAAAACAAACAAAATTGTGAAGGCTTTGGTGAAATCAAATTACCTGTTTTATGATGTAAGATCTTAGTTTGGTCACTTGGGAGAGAATAAGAACAGCTAGTGCTTATTGACCAGTTTACTGTGTGCCAGGTGTGCTAAGCTTTATATGTAGAGAGACAGAGTTTTTAATTAACATTTTGTTCTGAGATATGGTTTCCCTATGTAGTTCATACTGGCTTCAGACTCCCAGACTGGGATTAGTAGTTTTGATTTTAGTTCTATAGTACTGGAGATTGAACCCAGGGTCTTCATATTAAGCTTTACTTCCAACTTGTTTTTAAAAAATCTTTTATTTTGAGACATTCTTGCAAAGTAGACCAGATGGGGCTCAAACCTGACGTTTTCCTGCCTCAACTTTCCAGAGTGCTGGGATTACAGGTGTGTACCACCACAAGTGGTTAATGAGATCTTGAGTCTTGTTCTTTTCATCGGAATGTCAAGCTCATTATTAGAAATAATCCTACTTCTTTTCCCTTAAAGTCGTCACTCTTATAATGGTTGGAAATCTCTTACCTGATTCCAAATGAAAGCATTTCATATGAAGCAAAGAATAACCACTTGTTTAATATATCTTTTTATAGCAGGTTGGGTGCTATGAGGATGCCTTCATAGTAGTGTAAGTCTGTGCAAAGCAGGTTGTGACACATAAATACAGTGAAATTGAAGGCCTTATCTGTATTATACATAACAGATTTGAAGTTTGTAAAAATGTGTCACTAGTGGCCTTAGGTGTGATAATTCGAAACAAAGATTAGTTTATTTGTAGAATTTTGTTGATATTTTCATTGTAGCTCATATGAGAATTTATTTCTGATGTTCTTTTTTAGACTTCATATACCAAAAACCAATTAATGTTGAAAATTATGATGCTGCTTTTATAAACACTCAAAAAAAGTAACATTTTTAAAACACTAAACAATGGAGAAAAACCTCATAAATAGAGCTTCAAACTAAAGTGAAAGGGGCTGGTGATATAGTTCAGCAGCATAGCACGTGCCTGGCAAGTTCAAGGTCCTGACTTCCAATGACAGTACCAAAATAAATGAAAGTACAAATGTCCAATGATTAAACTTTCCACTGCTGTTCACATCATGACTTGCTGTGATTAATGTATGTGGATGAGGACATAATAGAAAAAGAAAATTATGAGATTAAGATGATAAATTTTTAGTACATTGATTTCCCTCTCTGAATGTTTTTCTTTGTAGGAATAAAACAGGTGTCTTCTTAGAGAACATTATTATTCAGATTTATTTGATCAAGAATTTGAAGATTATTAAGGTAAGTGTTTTCTTTTTTTTGGCAATGCTGGGGATTGAACCCAGGGCCTTGGCCTCATTGAATGCTAAGCAAGCACTCTACCCCTGAGCTACATCTGTAGCAGCAAGGTGATTATAATCTATTAGTATATAAAAACAAAAAAGTTAGACTTGATCCATAAATTGGCATTTATTTGAATATGATTCGGATATTGTACTCTTAAGTTAAACATTTTTGTTTTCCAACTTGTAAAATCAAAAAAACAAGCTAGGCATAGTGGCACAACCTGTAATCCCAGTACTTGGGAGGCTAAGGCAAGGAGATGACTGGGCTGCATAATAAGTTCAAGCTATTTATCAAGATTGTCTCAAAAACCAAAATTAAAAATGATTTTTAAAAATACTATTTCCAGGATAATTTTCCAAATTAGTAGGTTTGATTCACGGAAGACAATTGGAGAATATAGAATAGGAATTTTTTTTTTCTTGAGACAGGGTCTTGCTATGCAGTTGTGGCTGGCCTTGAACTCACTTTGTAGCCCAGGCTGGTCTTGAACTCACACCAATTCCACTGCCTCAGTCTCCCAAGTGCTGGGATTACAAGTGTGCACCACCACACTTGGCATAGAATAGGAATTTTAACTTTGGTTTTGTCATCAAAATGATGTCCTCCTTTCAACCCCTGAAATTCTTAATAGTTATCTTCTAGAAATGCATTTGCTGTTTGATAAACTGGCTCATACATCTGCCAGCAGATGGCTATCCTGTAATTAAGAAGAATGGCAGATAGAAAAATTGTATGAAAATGGGAATCCAATTCTGATATGATATCAATTCTGTCATTAATAAGGGTTTTGTTTGTTTTTTGAGACATGGCCTCACTGTAGTTCAGGGTGGCTTTGAACTCTTAGGTGATCACAGGCATGTGCCATCACACCCAGTTAATTAGGCATTTTATCATACACAGCTTTCAAATTTGAGGGATATCTACAACTAATAAAAAGGGAAATGGTCTTATGTTGCCTTAAGTTAATTTCCTAAATCAAATCTATTGATTTGGAAAACTATACTAGAAATCTTTTTTTTGTCTTTTTTGAGACAGAGTCTTTGCGGTTCAGGCTGGCCTTGAGCTCACTTTGTAGCCCAGGGTGGTCTCGAACTCAACGATCTTCCTGCCTCAAGGCCCCCCCCACAGTGCTGGGATTACAGGTGTGAGCCACCATGCCCAGCTTTGGAAATCATATTTTTAAAAAGCATTTTTAAAAATGCATTCAACAACATGCATTCAAAAACAATAAAATTACAAAATATTTAATAGAATGGATGCTACTGTTCTGCTGAAATGTAAATTTGGTACTGGGTGTTATGGAATAAATAGTATAACACTGCATTATAGTGATTATTTCTTCTAGAACTTTGGTCTTCAGTTTTCTTTTCTTTTTTTCTTTTTTTTTTTTTTTTCGTTTTGGTCTTTTTCAGACAGGGTATTCAGTTCAGATTAGCCCTGGGCTTAGGCTGGTCTCAAACTTGGAATCCTCCTGCCTTAGCCTCCTGAGTATTGAGATTATAGGAGTACATCACTATGCCTAGCAATTTAGAGATTATCAAAAAGAGAAGGGGAATCTAAACTCTCAAGAGGCCGAGATTTAGCTTAGCAGCATAAGCGCCTGCCTGGCAAGTGTGAGGTCACAAGTTTGATCCCCAGTATCAAAAAAACAAACAAAAAATACTTCTGTAAATTCTCAAAAGTATCTTTGGAGCATCTGTAAATCCTACTTTGATGTACTCTTCATTTAGTTATCTCCAAATATTGTTCTGTTCTCACTAATTGTTTTGAAATTGTGTTCCTTAAGAAAAATTTTATTTAATTGTGGATAGCTCTAAGTTGAATTAAAGTTTGATTATTTTGTGAAAAAAAATGAGTTTTCTTTTTAGAATTGCTTTGTAGTTTTCCAGTATGTATGAGTTTCATTTACCACAATTTAGTTAAATAACACCAGTACCCTAGCAACATGGTTGAAATTTGTTGCAAAAGTTTTAACTGAAAAAGCCATATTGGCCCAGGGATTTAAGCGCCTGGCAGGGCATAAGCGCCTGCCTGGCAAGTGCAAGGTTGTGAATTTGATCTCCAGTACTGAAAAAAAAAGCCACATAAACTTAATTGCTAATTCTTTAGTTCACACCCCTTACACAAAGTATGTACATCATAAACAATAATGCATTACATTACTTGTAAGGTCTGTTGGTGATTGGTCCTTACTAAGCATCTGTCACTTAGCTCACAAAAAGCAAAGGACATAGTTTTGTTGCTTCCTTGTCTAGGAGAGATGAATTCATGTGACAGTTCACAGAAGTGACAATAACAGTGACAAAAAATGTGAATGCTAGAAGTAGGTTCAATTAGAAGATTTAAAAATGGAGACCACGAAGCAGAGTGGTCAATTCCTAGATGCACATTAAACATTTAACAGTTTAATCCTGAGCATCATTTTGGCAGGTGTCATTTCAACCAGTTGATTCTTATTTCCCTGAGAATAACGCACAGACATGTTTGTTTTATATTGGCTATTTTTGCATATTTTTTATTTAGAACATTGTACTTGCCTTTGCTGTTTTTTTATAGTGAAATCTAATAAGTTGTAGTTATTTTCTTTTACTAACTCATGTTTGTGAAAAATAACCTGTAATTTTGTGCTATAATCTGTAAAGACTTAGAATAAGTACATTAGATATATTTTTGTTACTAATATGCCCATTATATTGTTTCATGTTACGATAAATCAGCATTTTTAAATTTTTTTGCATTTTTAGTTGCCATCCAAAATGTTTGAATCAGAAGATAATACTGATGAGGAATTATTGATTAATGAATCAAGAAGTGATAAGTTAACCTGAAGATGATTTTTTGGAATTACTGGATGATGAATTTCATTCCAAGGATGAAGATTTCATGCCAGATAATTTGTAAAATCCAATGCCAACCCTTTCTACGTTTCCATTCACCAATACACCTAGTGTAAATTTGCTGTTTAGACAAAATACTGAGCCGGATAGTTGTAGTTTGAATATTTCTGTGATTCTAAAATAATGGAGTTGATTACAGTGGAAAGTAACAAATAGCAAATCTGTCCAAGTCTTTTGAAATTTTATGAAAATTTTCACACTGGAAGGACTGGAAACCCAAAGATAATGCTGAGTTTATTTTTTGCTCTCCATATTCTTTAAGGAATTCTGTGTAAGCCAATATGTGAGTAATAGTGATCTAAAAAAGATTGGATCAGAATACCTTTTTTTAGTAAAGTGATATCATAAATGTTTTGCTTTCTTGAAACATATTCATTTTGTAGATAATTCTTTTGACACTAGACCTCACCTGAATCCTAAAGTATATTATGACTAATGGTTCAACATCTCAAAAAGTTTTCTACTGCATTTATACTTGAGCAAGATCAGAATTGAAACCCTTAATTCTATATAAGGGTTGACTGGAATGGATTCATTTTATGCTCCTAAAAA